CCAGCAGACACCAGAGTCTGTTAGAGTGCCTGTCTGTTTGGCACCTATGCCGGCTCACAAGCTCCCTCACAGTCCTTTGTTGTTCCCTCTCTGCTTCTTCCCACAGGTGCCTTAGCTCCACACAGAGGTGTCCATGGGCCCGCTGTGTTCGGTTCTTCTCCACTTCCAAATCAGCATGCAGCCTTTCTAGCCCTTTCCATAGTCCACCTGATTCTGGCAGGGTTTTCTGAATGACAGTGCCTGGTGGTTCTCCCTGTCTTTCCTCATGATGCCACATTCACTGCACAACATACAAGGAGAGGCAAGTCACATTCATTTATCAAGAAGGGCCATGCATCTGAACGGAGAATAAGTGGGGAGGGGGCACTTATCAGACAAGGAGGATGTGACAGAAAAAGAAAAATTATCAGGTACTATCCATCTGCTCCAGAAGGATTCAGAGAACAAATGATGGTAGCACTCAAAGAACAATTACACACATATTGTGATTTTTATCATTTACAAAAGCACAAAATAGCCTCAGTAGAAAATGCAATGACGAGCAAAGCAACCTACGGTAATGTGTTAGAACAGCTTTTTTAACATGCCAACATAAAAACAGTAAATTCCCTGTTTACTCAGCACCAGATCCCACTGATGCATCTTGTGCTAAGAAGCAGGAGCCTACCATTCAACCCAGGATGTAACAAGTGTACTTGTGAAAAGCGCAGACAACCATCCAGCAATGCACCGTTAACTATCACTACTGTACACAGCTTGAGCCATCCCCAGCTCGAGCTAGCGGTGCCAGCTGGGACATTGTTCATAACACTGAGAGGCTGTGACTTCAGCAAATGGCCAATTAACTAACTTACTTTAGCAAACTATTATAGAGGTGATGCTAAGATAGCTAGTTAACGCTATATCAGATGAATAACAGTCTGCAGTACTATACTGGAGCTGTAACAAGCCCTCACTAGCTATTAGGTCTTGTTAGCTTACCGTTAAGCTTTCTAGCCATAATTTGTATCAAACTCACCTCTCAGAGGACACAACTATATTTAGCTGTTCATTAATGGAGTCACCGTCCTTCAACCAAGATAGTTTGTAGGCATTAAAATCAGCTGTCTAGCAATACTGAGACCGCTAAGAGTAAGTGATAGAAGTCTATGGAGCCGTGCAATCGGGAGTTTGTTTATCTGAAAGGTTCCGCTGTCACATGCACAGTAAGTGTCCAGCGTCATTTTGCTGGCCAGTCCACGGGCAGTGCTGCCTTCAGAGCGCTGCGCCCTAATCCCACCATTTCAGGACAACACTGTATTTCAGTTACTCATTAGAAATACCAAAACTCATGTTGAAAGTCGCGCACGACGAACTGGCATTTACCTGTAATAACGGAACGAGAAGAGCAATGTGTAGGCCTCTAAAGAACCGTTCCTAATAGCATTTATCGATTTATTTTTGATTTTTGTGTGCGTTTTAAAAGTGACAATATTATTGATAGCCAGTGAAGGCAACACAATCATTGGTTCCACCAGTTTATATGAGATGGAGGACCACTAGTGGCTACAGGCTGCTAGTGCTGAAGTTGCCTGCATTTTGTAGGATTTTTGAATTGTGATACCATGAATCAATGCCATCCTTAGTAAGAATTATTTAATTGATCTAGTTGTAGTTCTAGGATAAAGATAATCACCTTTATTTGGCTAAGGAATTTGTTTCCGGTGCAGAAACTCCCGCCAGCTCAACCGATGGGTCTGACCATCGATCTGTAGCATCCACACTCTTGTTATCCTGGCACTCTTGTTATCCTGGCATTTATTGTGTGGATGCCGTAAAGCATCCACACTGTGTTATCCTGGCATTTATTGTGTGGATGCCGGCAAGCCCATCCACACTGTGTTATCCTGGCATTTATTGTGTGGATGTTATAGCATCCACACTCTTATTATCCTGGCATTTATTTATTGTGTGGATGCTGTAAAGCATTATTATTCTGGTTTCTTCCATCCGTTTTTCGGCACTTAATTTCTTCAGCATACTTTCAGCTAAAACAGCCATTCAGGTATATAAGTGTTCAGCTCTTAAGGATATTCCTGCTATTATTTTTCTTGTTTGTAACATTTATACTTTTTAAACTATTGTGTTTTTCAGCAAATGTTGCCCCATTCAAATGAATGGGGAAAATTTTCACATCTTAATAACTTCAGCATACCTTCAGCTAAAAACACCATTTCAGCTGTTACCTATTCAGCAACTCTTTAGCTATTCATAATGTACACAGCTTTTTGATTTTTTTTTTTTACAATTTTTGCATAATTACTGTTTAGATTTTATGCCTCACTTCAATAGTCACATCCTAGTAGTCCTCAAGGTGTAGGACTACTCTTTCTTTTTCATACACACACATACATCCAAACACCTACACACCCACACACACAACCCTACTTGTTTTACCTACTTTTGGGGACCAGTGGGAATATTTTCACTTCTTAATACGTTCAGCATACTTTCAGGTAAAAAAGCCATTCAGGTATCAAAATGTTCCGCTCTGCTAGGACATTCCTGCATTTTTTTTTTGTACCATTTATAGTTTTTACAATATTCAGCTTTTTTCAGCACATTTGGCCCCATTCAAATGAATGGGCAACATTTTCACATCTTATTAAGTTCAGCATACCTTCAGCTAATAACACAATTTCAACGGTTAACTATTCAGCAACTCTTCAGCTATTCCTACTGTAAACTGCTTTTTGATATTTTTTATGTTTTTTGCATGATTGCCATTTACATTTACTATGGTGTCCAGTTTTCATCATGTCTGCATAGGAAACCTGAGACACATCAGTTAGGGTGGTTTACCTGGTAAAGGCAAGGGCCCGCTTCATCATTGTGACATACTTTTTTTTATAATGTCAGCATACAATACCTTTGGTATAGGTGAAACTTTATGTTGACAACCCTGTTGTATACCTTCAGCTGTAGACTCTGTAGGCACGTTTACCTCTGTACAGCCCTGAGGGCTTTCTGCTGGTTCACCTGTTGCTGTACGCTGAAGGTCATTCATCCTCTGCCAGCAGATTCACAGCTTCTGACTTTTTATTCTTCAGTGCCATTATGTTCAAAAATCAAAAATATTACCGTTTGTCTACACCTATTTATTGTAGATTTAATTACAATCACACCTAAATTATGAATCACACAATATCATAAATACAACAAACTATGGAAGCCCATTCCCGCCAGTTACTCCGACATAGCTAAGTCGAAATTCCGACATAGCTAAGTCGAAATTCCGACTTAGCTAAGTCGAAATTCCGACATAGCTAAGTCGAAATTTCGACTTAGGGGAGCATTTTATTTCTCATTTAACTGGCGGGAATGGGCTTCCCTAATCCCGCGATAACACGAGGGG